GAGATGGATGTCGGGACAGGCCCACGACATCCAAATGAACTAAAATGATGAAGTGATGAAAAGGGGGATCCACCGGAATGCAAGGAGGCTCACCAACAACTCTGAAGCTCAACTGGATCAATGATGCACTGGATGCTGATCGACGATGCAGGCCAACTAGCATCAGTACATTGAATGTACTAGTATGCGAGTTGGAATGATAAACACAACTTAAGCTTGAAAAGAATCTGAAAGGAACTGAAGAACTTACTTGGTTCAACTCAACTCAACATAACTGAACTCATTTCAAAATAAAGCAGTTTAAAAATAAGTGCAATATAAGGAAAAGTTGTTTAAAACATGATGTCAACTCTGTGTATCTAGAAATACAATAATAATTCTGTATGTATGCAAAGATACAATATGAACTCTGTTTGAATATAAAAATACAAAATACTGTTGTGGGAGTTTGATACGAATGCTCCTTTAAGGACTTACTCTAGAAGAAAATATAGGCGAGCAGCATGTGGAGATAATCTATCTTAGTTTATCTATCTTACTTTCTTTGTATTAAGTAGGATAAAATATATAAGCAGTAATTATCTATAGTCGTTATAAAGTAGAAGTTATTACTAGTAGGCAGCAGCAGTTATTTACAGCAGTAACTGTTTCTATCTATCTGTTAGGAGTTATTTATGTTTACTATAAATATTTGTATTTTAGGAGAATTCTAGGGAAGGAAAAATATTATTATGTCTTTATATCTGGAGATTTGTCCACTCCATACTGACATTGTTATTGGTTAATGCAGTGTTTAAGATTCTTGCACTTTATTCAACCAGTAAAGTTTCATTTTCACATCAGTTTCTATCATTTTGGTATCAGAGCAGACTGATCCAATATGGTTAATACCAGATCTTCTACTTCGCAATCACAAGAAGATGCTCCCAATGTTGAAACCCTTGCGCAACAACTATCTGATATTGCATCAAAATTAAACACAATTGATTCATTGGCAGCAGATGTTGCTTCACTGAAAGTTCAGACCAGTCACATCCAACAAGAGGAAACCAGTTATCGAACTCGTAACAGAGGGAAAAGTGCAAATGTTTGGCTAGAAGAGGAAGAAGACATCGGTAATACAGGATGGCCAAGAAATCCTCACCGGAGGCCATACACGAAGATGGACTTTCCCAGATTTGAAGGAGGAGACCCTAGGGGTTGGATTTTGAAGGCAGAAAAATATTTCTGCTACTATCAAACTCCAGATGAACACAAAGTTGACATTGCTGCTATGTATTTGGAAGGTGATGCGCTTGATCTCTTCTCTTGGATCAATCGTGAACGAACTTTGCTCTATTGGGAAGAACTTATTAAAGCATTGCAAGAAAATTATGGACCTGCAGAGTTTCAAAATCCGGACGAGCATCTGTGTAGCATCCACCAAACTGGTTCAATACAGGAGTACCGTCAAGAATTTACAAAACGTTCATCTAGAGTCACAGACTGGCCAGATCACTGTCTTTCGGGGGTTTTCATGAATGGGCTTAAAGAAGAACTCAAATCAGATGTGAGAATTCATAAGCCTAGAACTGTTTATAAAGCCATGAGCCTTGCAATGGAATTTGAGAAAAAAGTTAGTTCTAATCGTGGGCATAAGTCTCGATGGTCAAATCTATCACGATCCAACACAATCCAAACTGGTTCTGCACGTGATGTTCCTTACCAATCAGTAGGCAACCAACACGTATCACGAACCAATTCAAATTCTGCACAAATGTCTCCTCGTCCTTTTCCGAATCGTGCTTGGGAGATAGAGAAGCAGAATCGCATAGCCAAAGGACTCTGTTTTAGGTGTAATGAAAAATTTGCACCAGGTCACCGTTGCAAGACAGCATCTCTCACTCTTATGGAGGCAAATGACAACATTGAAGGTGGTGAATCTGGAGAACAAATGTCAAGTGACATTATTGATAATGATGCAGGTACAAATGACCTGGCTTAAATTTCATTCCACGCCTTTCTAGGTAACACAACAGGCACAACAATGAAACTTCAAGGAACCTTAAATGGACGCAAGGTGCTGCTTCTGGTTGATAGTGGGTCATCCCACAATTTTATCTCGGAAAAAATTGTTGAAGAATTACAGTTACCCGCTCAAGTTGTGCCTTATTTTGGAGTTCAGATTGGCAATGGAGATATTATACGTTGCAACCGTTTGTGCCAAAATCTTATTGTGAAATTCCCTGGATTAACTATTGATCAAGATTTTTATCCTTTCTCTGTTGGAGGAGCAGATTTGGTGCTTGGAATTAAGTGGCTTGCTTCTTTAAATACAGTTCAAGCAAATTGGAATGAGATGTTTTTGATTTTTAATTTAAATGGGAAGCGATATAAACTTCAAGGGGTTCCACAAGAATCAAATGCACCAGTTGCTTTTCAGTATTTCTCCAAGGAGGCTGATACTTCAGGTAATTCTCTACCTATTGATATTCAAAGCTTGCTTCATAAGTTTGAATCAATTTTTGAAGAACCCAATGCCCTACCACCTTTTCGTCAACACATTCATTCTATCCCTTTGATTCCTAACTCAAGACCACCCAACATCCGTCCGTATCGTTATCCGTATTTCCAAAAATCAGAAATTGAAAAACAAGTTTCTGAATTACTCCAAAAGGGTTTTATAAGGTCAAGTACCAGTCCATTTGCTAGCCCTGTCCTTCTCGTCAAGAAAAAAGACAATACATGGCGTATGTGCATTGATTATAGAGGTCTCAACCAAATCACTATTCCAGATAAGTACCCTATTCCAAATATTGATGAGCTTTTGGACGAATTGCATGGAGAAACTATTTTTTCGAAGATTGATTTGCATTCTGGTTACCACTAGATACGTGTCGATCCAGTCAACATTCATAAAACTGCTTTTCGTACTCACTCTGGACATTATGAGTTTACTGTTATGCCCTTTGTCTCACTAATGCTCCTTCGATGTTCCAATGTGCTATGAATGATTTGTTCAGACCACATCTGCGCAAATTCATTCTTGTATTCTTTGACGACATCTTGGTATACAGTCAGACCTTTGAGCAGCATATCAGTCACTTGGAACTTGCTCTCCAACTTCTGAGAGACAATTGTTACTATGCCAAAACTTCTAAATGCTCATTTGGGCAAGTCCACATTTCTTTTTTGGGTCATGTGATTTCAAAAAAAGGGGTTGGTGTTGATCGAGATAAAGTTCAAGCTGTCTTGGAGTGGCCAGTACCAATTAATGTGAAGGAGTTACGTGGATTTCTTGGGTTAACAGGTTATTATCGCAGATTTGTGAGGGGTTATGGAATGATGGCTCGACCACTTACTGAACTTACCAAGAAAAATGCTTTTCAATGGTCGAACTCAGCAGAGAATGCTTTCCAACTTCTAAAGCAAGCTCTAACAACTGTTCCAGTACTACAACTTCCAAATTTCACTCAATCATTTGTGGTGGAATGTGATGCTTCTTCAGAAGGAATAGGGGCTATTCTTCTTCAGGATGACCATCCTATTGCTTATTTTAGTAAGGGACTTTCTTTTTCCAGTCGTTTGAAGTCTACTTATGACCGCGAATTGCTTGCTCTTGTTTTAGCTTTGCAGAAATGGAAACACTACCTCCTGGGCAATCATTTTTATGTCCGAACAGATCATTGCAGCCTCAAGTATCTCCTTTCTCAGCGTATTACTACTAATGAGCAGCAAAGATTATTAATGAAATTGCTTCCCTTCGACTTCACAATTGTTTATAAAGCTGGGAAAGACAACTTGGGAGCTGATTCTCTTTCAAGGAGGCCATTAAATGCTGAATTTCTGGCTCTTGCTATTCCTGTGCCGATGGATTTTTCCAATTGGCAAAATGCTCTCCAAGCAGATACATATACTCGTGAGATTATTCAAGCTATTCACCATGATCCTTCCTTACAACCAGATTTTCATCTTGTGGATCAGAAACTTTATTTCAAGGAAAGGTTGGTCGTTCCGGATCAATCTTCCATTCGACAAAAGCTTCTCTCAGAGTCTCATGATACACCTACTGCCGGGCATGGAGGATATTTAAAAACCTTGAAGCGCCTTTCCTCCAACTTTTTCTGGCCAAGGATGAAGAATGATGTTAAGATCTTTGTTCAGAACTGTTTGGTTTGTCAACAAGCCAAATACCAAGCTCTAGCACCTGCTGGACTTCTACAACCCTTGCCTGTATGTACTTGAAAGAATTTGGGAAGATGTCTCACTTGACTTCATTGTAGGACTTCCCAAATCTAGTGGTTTTGATACAATTTTGGTTGTCGTAGATCGTCTCAGCAAGTATTCTCATTTCATCCCACTTTCTCATCCATATACTGCCAAGATTGTTGCTAAGGTTTTTTGCAGAGAAATTGTGCGTCTTCATGGCATTCCTCGGTCAATTCTATCTGATCGGGATGTTATCTTTCTCAGTGCTTTTTGGCAGGAGCTTTTTCGACTTAGCCAAACAAGGCTAAGAATGGGTACCTCTTACCACCCACAATCTGATGGACAAACAGAGGTAGTTAACAGATGCTTGGAATCGTATTTACGATGCTTTGTTATGGAGCAGCCTCGTATATGGAGTCAGTATCTACCATGGGCAGAGTTTTCTTTTAACACGGGTTTCCACTCATCCACAGAAACTACCCCATTCAAAGTTGTTTATGGTAGGGACCCTCCATCCATTTCTCCTTATGTTCATGGAGAAACACGCATTGCTGAACTTGAAGAACAACTTTTGAATCGTGATGCCATGCTGAATATTCTCAAGGATAACCTTTTAAAGGCTCAAACTCGAATGAAACAGCAAGCTAATTCTCATCGTCGAGATGTTACCTTTCAAGTTGGAGATTCTGTCTTTCTACGTGTTCAGCCTTACCGTCAACGCTCTTTGGCTTATCGCAGGTGTGAAAAATTGTCACCTCGATTTTTTGGACCATATAAAATTGTACGGTGTGTTGGACCTGTAGCTTATGAACTGGAGCTTCCTGCTTCCTCCAAAGTACATCCGATTTTTCATGTATCTTTGCTCCGTCCAGCTCATGGTCAGCAAGCTGTTATACCACCAGCCCCTCTTCCTCTTAATGAAGATTGGGAACTCACCATATCTCCTGCTAAGATTCTTGCACATCGATGGGTTAAAGAAGTTGGTTCTTCTTCTTTGGAACTGTTCATTCACTGGGTTGACCGTCCGCTTGAAGAAGCCAGTTGGGAAAACTATGATCTCATTGCAGATCAGTTTCCTTCTTTTCGCCTTGAGGACAAGGCGACTCTTCAGGGAGGATGCACTGATACGAATGCTCCTTTAAGGACTTACTCTAGAAGAAAATATAGGCGAGCAGCATGTGGAGATAATCTATCTTAGTTTATCTATCTTACTTTCTTTGTATTAAGTAGGATAAAATATATTAGCAGTAATTATCTATAGTAGTTATAAAGTAGAAGTTATTACTAGTAGGCAGCAGCAGTTATTTACAGCAGTAACTGTTTCTATCTATCTGTTAGGAGTTATTTATGTTTACTATAAATATTTGTATTTTAGGAGAATTCTAGGGAAGGAAAAATATTATTATGTCTTTATATCTGGAGATTTGTCCACTCCATACGGACATTGTTATTGGTTAATGCAGTGTTTAAGATTCTTGCACTTTATTCAACCAGTAAAGTTTCATTTTCACATCAGTTTCTATCATTTTTGTTTCTCTAACCCACAACCATCACTTGAGAGCTATAGTGATGATACAGTGTTAAGTGTTTTACCTCACGCTGCCAAGGACCGTCATATACCTTGTCGGGGGTATATAACCTAACTCACTAAGTGGATCCACTAGTCTATGCTAAAAAACACTAAAGGAATCATCTAAAAATTATGACCCTTTTCTACCCATGGTGGCTACATGGTTTATGGGGGTTGTGAGTTGTCTGAACTCTCCCCCATATCGGTGCTTAATACTACTCCCAAAATATAATATTAGCTCTTATGTTTAAAAATATACTTCATTTTGTGATTTGAGATTAGTGCTCAAAAGCTTAGCTCAAAGGCTATCTTGGAAATCAAAGTTTCCTCTCTCGCTTCATTTAGAAAGCGATTACTCTTTTCTGAAAACTAGCCCGAAGGCTCCTTGGAAATCGAGGTTTCCTTTCTTATTTAAATGCGAAAACATTTTAAACCCTTTGGGAAAACATAGCCCCCATATACTTCTTTCAAGAAATGAACTTCAAACTTTACTCTTTACTCTTTACTCAACTTGAACTTTAAGTCTTAAAACAAAGTTAAAAAGCATTTGCAAAAGACTTCTTAAAAAGAGTCTAAGAACTTCCTAGACTTGGCTCTTGACTTTCCTTGAATTTGAATTTATGGATTCAAGGTTATAATTCATGTTTCTGGATGATTTCTAGATGTTTAGAAGTCATTTAGAGTAGTTAGAATCAATGGAAAGTTTTAGTTACACTTTAGAAGGACTTAAATAGGCTAAACGACGAACACTGGTGAAAAACGACGATTTAGGGGCATCCCGGGAGCGCCGCGCCATCCCCAACTTACTGGGGCTCAAATCTGACGTACTGCTGGCACGAGGCGATATGGGGGTGCATCGCGCCAGCCTCCCTTCAGGCAAAATTCTGACGAACTTTTGATCTCATTTTCTGATACTAAATCGTTTTAATCCGATTCTTTTTCTCAAAATTCACTTTAGATTCATGTACCCAAATCATATACACAAAATCTAACCCAAACAACTCAAGGAAACAACACTTTCACATCAAGAAACTCCTTAATCCCAACTTATATTCAAGAACGAAATCAATTCAAGAACAACTATCAAGAACATCAAATGCTCAATCTTTTTAGGACGAAAATACGCTGAATTAAACATGCTTGGTACATGGGTGAACTAACCCAACGCTAAAAGATCTCGCATACCTCGTAGGGATAACCCCTTTAAGAAATCCAAGATCTTAGCTTCAAGAACTTGACGATTTCGTTGCTTCTCCTTATCTTTTCTCCTCTTCTTTTCTCTTCTCTAAAACCCTAACTCAATTTCTCCAAAAGCCTAAACTGACCAAGTTCAGCTTAGACCCCTAAGTAATTACCAAAAACGAATTAAAATAAAAGGGTAAGGGAAAGACCAAACTATCCTTTAAAAATCCGGATTGGACATTTCCGTATTGGAACAGCCCAACTTCCAATGGGCATAACTCAATCATACAAACTCGGAATCGCGCAAACTTGGCGGCGTTGGAAAGATTATTCCAAGATATTTCCTACGATATCTAGAAGAACACCTAACTCATCCTGATCTAAGATTTATGGTCGTTTAAATTTTACCAAAAATCCAACTTAACATAACAAAATTTCAAGATTTTTATATTATTTCCAAAAATGACTCTTTCCACTTTTTCACTGCTTTCTAGTTCTTTTCTAGTTACGGGGTGTTACAAGTCCCAAACAACGGAAGGGACCTATGGACCGTAGGTCAGTCCACGGTCCATAGGTCAGTGTCGTAGAATGCAACCGCGTCCAGAAACTTTATTTCCTTATTTCATTTCCTTTTTAGTTGGGACATGTTTTTCTATATATATGGCATGTAAACCTCGTTTTTGGGGGTTAGACCTTATTACTTTTGTTCTAGTCTTTGGCTTTGTAGATTAACTTGCAACTTTAGCAATTCTTGATTTCCTAAGTTCGTTTTGAAGATTTTGACTTTGAAATTCAAGTTGAGATTTTGGGTTTCTTCTACTTATTACTTAAGTTCATGATTTCTTCATTTAAAAATATGAATTGTGTTCTTTCTACTATGGGTAACTAAATCCACAACTAGGGTTGTGGGAACCATGAGCGATTAACAA